AAAGTCTATAGGCAAAAACTACAAAAACCTTAACAACAAGGATAGTTTAATTATGAAAGTCAGTTGATGATAACATTGTTACTAGTAACTTTAGAAATCTAAGGACTTATGAAAGATCACTAATGTTAGTTAAATCCCAGTCATGGTGTAGCTTAAACAAAGTCAATCAATTTTCAGTTTTTTTCGTGGAATTTTTAGTAACGTTTATAGATAAACAACAAAATACGACTAAAGTTCTTAAAATTTCTCAACACTATGAATACTCTCATATTAGGTTTACAGTTATCCATAGTTATTTCAAAACCAATTTTACAATCTTTCATAGTTCCTAACTCAACATTTATTTAAAGAACTTTGCGTAAATAGAGTAACAGCTCTTAACATGACTCTAGATTACGGTCCATTCAAAAGTCATATTTCCTTGGCACAGAAGCGTTAATTTTTAAGTAATTTAAAAACAGATGCCATGAAAAAATAATTAAAAACGTCAAGTGAAAATGATCTGAAAAAAATATATATATATTTCTTCAACTTTATTTGAAAACTTTAATATCAGTAGTTGCGATCATGAGTCAGTTGAAGCTAGACCATCATGTAAAACCTGGAAGCACTAGACAGCCGTTTCCTTCTATTGTGGGACTCCTCAGCAGTGCGCATCCACGACACAGGACCTATCAGTTGCGCGTGCGAGCGCTTAACCACTAGACCACTGAGTTGGCATCCAACGGTGTTAGGATGAAACGGTCGTCCAGTGCTTCCATGTTTTCCATGGTGGTCTAGCTTCAGTTGACTCATGATCTCAACTAGTGAAATCACTACAATCTCCACAAAACTCCTTCTGAAACTTAAATATGTTTATAATTATTTCTTCTGTTTGGCGATTTAAGCATGGGCGATATAGACCAATTTCAATAATATTTCCAACTCCAGCCATAAGTTTCCACCACGATTACTGATTTTGCGATCTTTACTGAGGATTTTATTTTGAAATCAAGGTATACTTCAGTGATTAACTCACTGTACTCTGTAAATATCGTCTTTCTTACTTTGTATAACTTATGAAGGAAATCAGTTCAGTAGTTATTAGTCAAATACAGTCTGGATGAAATATTAGTACCTTCGACCAAGTAGATATGAAACATAAGATCTGCACAGATTTAGCTGCAACGTCGCAAATTTGTAATCAAATCTCAAATTTTATTCTATCTGCACAATGAATTAGTTGTATTTCAATAAGCTTTCATGAGTCTAATCTATTTTGTGGTATTTTTTCCTATTTTTTCTAGATAACCTGGGGTAATTCAGCATCGAATATTCTTCTGTTTTTATTAATAAGGCAAAAGCGCATTGCAAGATTTAGATAGAGTCTGAGTTTCAAAACAATTTGCCGTGATAATGCCTTCCCCAAACACAATCAAGCGGAAAACACTACGAATAAACTGATAATCTGAAATCTTCGGATAAGTTTTCATTCTATCAAACGATGATGAATTCAAATGAACGTGATGTAATGATTATCCACTTACCGTGATATTTTTCAAACAATTCCTATAAAGTCTGAAAAAGTAGTCATTTTGATGATTGCAAAAACTTTAATGACTATAAAATTACTTTTGATGGTTGACCTATTCATTGATTAAAGACTTTTATTACTTTTCATGTAGGGCTTCGGTTGACTTAAGACAATCAAGTAAATGTAGACAGTATCTTATTTGCTTGTTACGTCAGTTGCAAATGAATTACAGTCTGTTTTGAACTCAAAAGATTTGCTCTGAACGATCTACCTTCATTTTTGTTTAGAAATCAGTGTGAATAAACGATTAAGATGTTGGTTGAATTGATGTTTTTTGAGAAATGTGGATTTGAGTTGGAAGGGAATGCATTATTAGGACCACTAAATATGAGCTTAAATCGATGTTCTGGCCATTACATACACAAGTGTTTTTCCAGGATCCTCTTATAGAAGAATATACTTCAATAATGTGTTGAAATATTATTTCAAGTAAATAAATTTTGCTTTTTCGAAATGATAAAAAGAAGTATTTATATGAAACTTAATTTAACTGAGTGATACCTACTTCAGTTATCGTAATGATTGAATAAACGATGTTACGTATTAATCATATTTAAATTCTGTTATAACAATAGGACTTTACGTTTTATTCTATGGAAATTTGTGATGATTTATGTTAATTTAACAGTCCTAGTCCGCAGATTTATGGAATCGTTTAATTGTAGAATATCCAGCTAATTGAATTAATATACTGAAAAATAATTTATCCATTATGAGAGAGTATTTCAATATGAGAAGTAGGTGAACTTTAATATAACTGAACTGCTCACTGATTATCTAAATATAGTCTTACCACATTTTCAGTTAAATTAGACCTTTATGTTTTCTTATATGCTTCAACAATTAAGTTTTCACCATACTACATTTATGTTCTCTTAAAAAACATTTTCTTATTCAGTGGATGAAATTTAAATTCAAAGAAAATGAACTGACAAATAACTGATAGATCGTCTAGATATAAGGTAATCGATCAATGATTAGAATAATTTTGATTTAGGCGCTTGTAATGTATAAATAAATTAAGCCTCCTAATTTATTCTTAATAGGTGCGAAATTTACTTAGCTTTCGTCTCCTAAAACTACGCAGTTTCATATTATGACAGCCGATGTTTCTTATGGTTTATCAGAAAAGTAAAGACGAATAATTTGTTTTAATAAGAAACGTAAAGTGATAATTATTTTTAGTTACATATAGGTTATTTTACAGTTTCTCAGTTGTATATATATATAGACTAACTCGTAACAACACATATTTTCATAACTAACGCAAAATCTGTCAACGTTTCAGTTCATTGTGTTTAAAATACTTTATTTGAAGTTAGACGAAGCGATTTCCCAAAGATGAAGACTTTTTTCTCTAATTCAAGATCATTTACTTGTAAGTAATATTTCCAATCTATTGGTAGACATGTTGATCTTTTTAAAACGTCATTTAATTGATAGATAATAACTTGGTGAAAAAGCAGGGTAGAATGAATTCCACCATCAAAATTCCTGACTTATCATCAAAATGATCAGTGTTCTACTTTCATGAATTGAAATCCCTAAAACCGTTTAATTACAATCCATTAGAACATTTGAATGATGCTTATTTAGTTTGGTAACATAAAAGGCATTCAAGTATTAAAACATTTAAGATTGAACATAATTCAACAATAATCATTGTAGATAAAGTCTAGCAGTCGGATCTTGGATGCGTATTCCATCACAGTTAGAAAACGTCAGCTAGATATACCTGCATCCCTGTGTTGATGTTCACTATGGGATTCCAATCCATTTCCTTTCATTTCCAACCTCATCATGTTATTCACTTAGTTACTGAGTTCAGACAGCCATTGACTTGTGAAATGAGATCAATTTTAATTTGTATATATTGATTGTTTAGATCTTCCTATGGATATTAAAGACTATAATTGATTAGTATCTAATTAATTACAATTCACAACATCAATAAGAAGATTTAAAACAATCAATAAAAAAAATGAACACTCATTATGATTTGATAAATTAATCTATTTTAAACCAGATATAAATGAATCAATGATATTCTTTTCTCAAATGAGTGATCAAGTTTCTATATTTTGATTCTCTCCTCTAAACAAATCATTTAATTTCTAGATAAGAATACAACAACAAATATTTGTGTACATATATTACTAATTAAAAAAAAAGAAAAAAGAAAAGAAAGAAACATTCATGGTTACATGAATTGATCATATTGTGAATAGGATTTCAAAAGAATAATTCACACACAAATTACATTGACATAATCAAAAGAAGAAAACAAAACGAAAACAAAAAAAGAACAAAACGATCATATTACACAATTTCACAACAGATTTACTTCTGAGAAAGAAAAGAGTTTACTTTTTTTGTTTAAAAAAATTATTATCTCAAAACATAATTAAATCGTTTGTCTGTTTTCCAAGAAAACATACATAGAAAAGAAAAAAAACCCAAAAAGAAAACTAAACAAAACAAATAGTTGATAAGTTATCAACAATTTTATGATGTAACATGTGAATAGAATTAAGAAGTTCATATTTAAACAAAATTAAATGATTTTATCCCTTACATTACTGAACTTTTTAATCAATACAAATTGAAATGTACACATAAAAAATAAGACCAAAAATATAAATAAACAAACAAACAACTTAGGAAGAACGTTTGGATCAATAAAGAAAAACAAACAAACAAACAAACAAACGAAACCAATGAGAGGAACAAAACATTTTTTTATGAATATGATTATATTACTGATGTATTTAAAATGTTTAGTATAATCTATATTTTAAATTCTTTTATGTTTATGCTTAAGATTTAATAAAATATAAACAAAAAGTTAACTGTTATCATTTGTACATCATTTCTATGTACGATATATATCTATATATGGTGTAGTTTTATTTATTTATGACCAAGTCTTATTTATTTTTATTCTGTTATTTTTTCTTTAAAATAAGTTTATAAATGACTAAATGTTCACAATTCAATATTCAATTTAGATAAACAAAAAATATTATTATTATTATTGTTATGATGTTTTGTAGATTCATTAACAGATTTTATGTAAGATTTTTTGTATTCACCAAATCACACAAACATTTTAAATAAATAAAGCATAAAATTATTAGATTAGTTGATTTATACAAAGAAACTATATAATAATCAAGTGATTTATGTAATTCAACTTATTGAAGACATTCAAAGAGAAAAAAAAGTGAAATAAACATTAAGATTTCAATGTTTTCATAGATACTTATATCAAGTCATTATGTATTAGTAAGATGTATATTAAAAGGTGTATGTAATTGTAGAAACGTTAGAAGATTTCATCTTACTTGAATTAGTTAGTTTGTTTATCGAATTTATAGCCTGAAAGTTGATATTTCACTTGATTGAAACTTTTTCGAGCTACATATGAATTGTTTACAAGTAAATATTTGGAAAAACAAATAAACTTACAGGCAGATTATCTAGTTAATAATCTGTAAAAAAGAAATGAAAAATAGAATGAATTTTAATTTGTTCTTTAATATTAAAATGTGATTGTGGTATATTTGAGAGTCATGAAATAAAATAAAACAACTGTGTCAGTAAATTGTAGTCTTAATTAGTTCATGTGATGTTAGTTCATAATGAAAATTAACTAAACTATTAAGAAATAATTTCCGGAAAGTTCAGTACAATTCATGAATGACATAATGGAACTAAATGAGCAAAATAACATAAAATATATCAAACAACCTATTTGCATATATACATTAAAAACTCTATTAGGGTTCGAACACATTTCCATTTCGTCAAGATAGTAATAAATAAAAGACAGTGAAGATATTTTTCTAAAACACACTAACAACATTTATATTAATAATAATAATAAATAAGGCTAACAAGATTGATTAAGAAAAACTTCGATTCATTAAGGAGGTCAGGTAAAAGAATTGTTTTCATTTCCGATAGTTTACAATAAACTACCTAATCATTATTCTGATGGAGATTTCTAAAATAAATTATCATTCTATCTTGATGAACATTCAATTCACTGGCATACTGAAGTAAGATATTTCACTGACATTTTCTTGTCTGACATTTCAGTTACTCGGATACATAAAATGAAGCTCTCTGTTAAACCATATACATATTTCTTGGTAATTTCATGTGAAATACATGGCATATGATTCAATTTGATAAGTTTCTCTATATTGGAATGAAGCAAAACTGCATTTTCATAAAACTAGTATACCAAGTCATTTGATTTTCAAAAGAGTATTGTTACAGTACATCTTGTACCTAGTGTACAACTTCATTCAAAAGATATATATTTTTTATTTTGAAAAGAATCACAACAACTGCTTCTTAGGATTACATAATTCATGAAGTGGATAGTGCAGTTGTAGTGACTGTGCTTCGTTAACCAATCACTCTCGTAACCGTTATCATATAATCCTGAACGGTGTTTGAAATCAAAAGGCAAAGAAAAGCAGTGACTACATTTTTATCAGCAGATAACTCAGACCACAAAGCAATGGGGCGAATGAGTCAGCAAACCGAGAGTGTAGAGTGTGAATGTGCATGTATATACATAGGGAAATGAATGGATCATCGAATCATCTAAGCAGCTAATAATAAAGCTAGCAAAATGAATATATGCGTACGCGGTAAGCAGTGTTCAAGCATATATATTTCATACAAGCACCACAAATAATGAAGGTACAATAAGTTGTTATAGTACGGATGACTTTGTCCGCCAAATAAGTTAACAAAAGGGCTTAGCTGAGTTAAATGAGAACAAACTCAATTGCACGTGAGTTGCTATACAGTTTTACAATAAACTTCATTTACAATATTTCCGGTACATATACGTGAGTTTTAGTTAAGAGTTAAAAAAAAGTAAATTGGCGAAAATTTGAGTGATTGAATTGAGGTTAATATTTTGTTAATCACCTATTATTATCTAATATTTATATAGAACAACTGAAGAAAATCAAATATAGTTATTTGCTTCTTAAATCACTCATTTGGCTTAAATACACAAATCCCTCCAATTATTGCATATAATTTGAAGTTCAAGTTTATGTAAGACGTTTTCATTTAGGAAATTTTCCGTGAATACGGGCTTTAAATAAAATCAAAGCTCATATCCGGTTGTTTCATTGATTCCTGTATTTAAACTGTAATGACTTGTAACTTATTAATAGATTTCTAGAAATCTTAGGCATTATTTTCTTTTAAGACATTTAGATACGCTTGTCTATATATATTACTAAACTGACGTTTGTTACCCCTAAAAGTCAATACATCACATAACAATATTTAACGTTATTTTGTCTAGCTGTTAGGGGTGATTAACTTCTGTCTATAGAACTAACAATGTGCACATGATCAAATTATATGGCAATGTAAAGCAATAATTATAAATATCAGGTATTAAGAGGTGATTAATAAAATACTAACTTTCCTAAAATCACTTAAATTTTCGCCAATTTACTTTTTTTAACTCTTAACTAAAACTCACGTATATGTACCGGAAATATTGTAAATAAAGTTTATTGTAATATTATATATAAAACTGCACTATCCACTTCATGAATTATGTAATCCCAAGAAGCAGTTGTTGTGATTCTTTTCAAAATAAAAAATATATATCTTTTGAATGAAGTTGTACACTGGGTACAAGATGTACTGTAACAATACTCTTTTGAAAATCAAATGACTTGGTATACTAGTTTTATGAAAATGTAGTTTTGCGTCATTCCAATATAGAGAAACTTATCAAATTGAATCATATGCCATGTATTTCACATGAAATTACCAAGAAATATGTATATGGTTTAACAGAGAGCTTCATTTTATGTATCCGAGTAACTGAAATGTCAGACAAGAAAATGTCAGTGAAATATCTTACTTCAGTATGCCAGTGAATTGAATGTTCATCAAGATAGAATGATAATTTATTTTAGAAATCTCCATCAGAATAATGATTAGGTAGTTTATTGTAAACTATCGGAAATGAAAACAATTCTTTTACCTGACCTCCTCAATGAATCGAAATTTTCCTTAATCAATCTTGTTAGCCTTATTTATTATTATTATTAATGTAAATGTTGCTAGTGTGTTTTAGAAAAATATCTTCACTGTCTTTTATTTGTTACTATCTGGACGAAATGGAAATGTTTTTGAACCTTAATAGGGTTTGTAACGTACTTTTTAGAAGTAACAAGGGAATTATATCTCAAATGAGAACCAACTAGAAGCTCCGCTTTGCAAACAATATTACTTATCAGTAAAAACGATGGCTGAACAGTAAAGCATCTTCTTTATCTATCCAAATGTTATTACTTAATATGTTTACCGTTATGCATGTTCAACCATCATAGTATGATCAATTTACACAAACAAACTATTATCAGTGAAATCCGTATGTTTTTTTGGGAAACTCCGGATATGAAAAATCGGTGGAACCAGAAAAAATTCATTTATCTCCTTTCAGTTTGAAACTAAAATAAATGTTAAACCACTAGATTGGAGCCAACAGATTGTTAGAAACTGTTGTAAAATCTGTATAAACTGTATGATTTTAAATACTCGGTCTTAAAAACATCTGCGGTTGGTTCTAAGCGATTTCCATTCGAAGTTGCTTTCTTTTTTAATATGATTAAGGTTGTAGTTCATTCTATACGGATCCATTGCTATAGTTGTATTACTAATATCACTTCGTAGGAACCTAAAAGTCGTTGATTATTAAAAGGTTAAACCTATAAATGAAATAAAATATAAGATAAATAGCGTACAAATTTTTAAAATATCTAAGAACAAAGATGGCTGTTTTATACAAATGCAAAATTATAATATTTAAAACATACTCATGTCAATAAATTCATTGCCTTAATCCTTTGCTTTGTAATGTAGATGGTAGGGTTAAAACAGTGGTTGCCATAGAAGTGGTTTCAGTTCCTGTTCCACCACCAGAACTATCTTCATCACTTTCTTCACTCTCACTAGGAGCTTCTAAGCCAGAATGTAAAGTTAGTTGAATAGCTCTTGTTAAACTGACAGCTGGATAATAAATCCCATTTGGCAAATTAGTGAATGCAATTGGACCATGCGGTTGATCATTTAAATAATAAGATAAACTGCCTCTATTACAATCCAGTCGAATACCAACTACACTACCAGCATGTATTCCACCATCAGTTCGTTCAAAATGTTCTCCATTATGTAAAAACCAACTTCGTTTATAATCAAAATAGATCGACCAACTTTTCATATCAAGACCTAAAGTTGTAGAGAAGAGAAATATAATAGAAATGTTTATATTGATGATTTTCGTTTTAATCAATTATTAATTCACATTATAAAAAAACTTTTTCGTTATGTTGCATCAAAATGATTTTGTTGTGACATTTGATGTTTTGCTTATAATTAGATTTATATTTAACAAGACTAATGTAACATATTTAAATCCATATTTAAAAAGTGAGTTAATACACCTCAATATTACAGTAAGATTTTTAATGTATACTACTCTATTAATTTGATCATAATTAACATCAGAAGGGGGGTTTTTGTGGATATTATATTAATTTTAATGGTTGAAATCATGAATCAATTGAAGCTAGACCACCATGGAAAACCTGGAAGAACTATAATATTCACAAAACCCCTTCTGATACTAAGTGCCATATCCTCACTAGTGACTGGCTTCAAGAGGTATTTCCTGGAGTTCTATTAATAAATAATCAACTTGATTTTCATTAGTAATCACACTTCTCAGTAAAGAATTTGCATCAGAGAATATTACAAGTTTATTCTTTTTTTAGGAATTACATCAAGTTCATGATGATTTCTTGATAACAGACACTTATCGTTAGTTACTGAGTAAAAATTGATTAACAATTAGAATAGTAGTTTCCACTACGAGAAAGTCATTCTTCATAATAATAGTGTTTTGAATAACAATTTTGAAAAAAAATGACTGAAAAGAAATTTTTTAGAACTAGCATTTTTATGTTTAGTATTAGAATCCTGAACCTTCCTTTCATTCGTTTTGTGACTTGTCAGTTGGATGTACCTACATCTTAGTATTATTATTCATCTTGAGACTCGAACCCATTACCTTACACTTCAAGTACTAAAGGTTTCATCCATCAAACCAAAATGTCTAGACACTTATTCAAGTAATACAAGAAAGGTTTAACTTATTCTATTATTGATTATCTAAACAGGATTTTAAACAAATGCTGATGTGAATTCAGCCAAAATTATAAATAAGATAATTTAAATCTTTTCTTTTAATACTAAAAACGAAATGTTTAATGACTAAGTTTACAAAACTAAACTAAGTAGTATATAATGAAAAACTATAAATTGTTATATTGTATCATTATTGATATTATCATCATTATTTATATAATAATCATTTGAATAAACTTGAAAACTACAACATTCATTTAAGATTGAATTAGAATGATATGATAGTCTAAAAATTATAAAACTAACTCATAAGAAACTATTATTTTTTGTTTAAAAAATTGTCATAACTATTCAATCTTGATAGTTCATTGAAGATTATTCATATGAATTAATGAAAACAAAAATTGTCTTAGAAAACAAATAAATCGTGAAATTTTTATTTAAGTAATATGTTTGTTTCTTAATTTTTATTTTAACTTTGCATTAAATAAACAATTATTATTATTGTTTGAATTCATGAATCAATTGAAGCTAGACAACCATGGAAAACATGGAAGCAATGGATGGTCTATTGTGGGACTCTTCAGCAGTGCACATTCACGATCCCGCCTCTCGAGATTCGAACACAAGACATATCGGTCTCATGCACGAATGCTTAACCTCCAGATCACTGGGCCGACCGGCATCCAACAGTCTCAATGTCTAACTTCAACCAATTCACGAAATTGAAGGACACATCTACTAATGTCTTCAATGAGTTACTATCTCACAACAGACCCAGTTGAACTCAACTGTTCACTGTTTCTCACTAGAACTTCATGAAATATCTCTTGGAGACGGTCACTAATGAGCGTATGTTGATTCATAACAGAAGGGGTTTTGTGAATATTATAGTAATTTCATAGCTGAATTCATGAGTCAAATAAAACTAAACCATTATGGAAAGCCTGGAAGCAGTAGACGGCTGTTTCATTTTAATATGGGAAACCTCAGCAGTGCGCTTCATGAATTCAACTACTAAATTACTATAATATCCATAAAATCTCTCTCTAATTATTATTATTATCATCATTATTATTATGGAAATAATAACATAATAATGTTGAATATTGTGCAATAATAGACAATAACCATTTTGATTTAGCTTATTTAAAATTACAATCATTTCTTGATAAATAGAATACTCTTTGAATATCTCGCTCTTACATGAGATTCGAATAGCCCAGTGATATTATCTAAAAATGGGTTCAAATCCCATGGAGAGCATCACTTTCAATACGATTACAGATGCAGATTATTGATAAATGTCAGTCAGTATTGGAAGTAGATTTAGGAACGTTCTACTAATTCCCATTCAAGTAATTTCAATGCAAATAAGACAATAATTGATCATCAACATAATGTGACGAAATATAACTATCTGTAATAATATTTTAAACAATAGTTGAAAATTGTTAATTAAGATAGATATTTTTGTATCATGGTTTCACATGAATTCAAGATAGATATTTATGAATTGTAGAAGTACTTTTAAAGTTGTATCTTGTCATTTTTATACATTTAATCAGTACTTCGTGTATTACTTTCATTTATACGAATATTCTATTTTGTATTTATCAGAATATATCTCTGATCATACTTTATATCTGTTAACTAAATAACTTTCATACACATAGTTCCCTTTATCATTTCAAAACTAAATAACTGTTTTTAACAGCTTTCTCTCTCTTAAGTAACTCATGTTCCCAATCTCTACACTTATGTAATTATATTTATATTCCTTTTTAAGGAAATGTCTACATATTTCAAAGTGAATTTCTTTGTTTCTATATAAATACTATATATTGTTAATGTAATAATTAAAACAAAACTATATGAATGATGGTTAAGTAATGAAATTAATGAATTTTGACAATTTGCGACATTACATACTATTTAGACAATTCACATGGTTCTTTTGTGGTTTGAAACGTTTATGTTACATCATATGTATAATAATGAGTATGTATTGTTAACTATTAGACAATGATTAAATAGTTGTGTTGTACTCTTTAGTTTCCCAATACCATTCTATTTAGTACTAATTTATGATGAAGTCTACCTTCAGTTAGCAGTTTCTAGAAAATTTATAAATTTTTCTTAGAAGTTTCAAAATCAAATGAACAAAATTATGGATGATAATGGCGATGAATCATCTTATCTATTTAATCAACAAATTTGTTTATCTACATTTTATTTTTGATAAATTTAATAGACTAATACAATGATTTTTATAGTCTATTATGTCATACATTATTAGATGCAACTTGAAATCACGCAACATCAATTTATCAGTTTAATTGAAGGATTCAATAGTTAAGTGATAATAATAAAGCAAAATAATGAAATGATAATAATTTCAATCAAGATGATTTAGTTATTATTGGTGATGATGACGAAGCTGATAACATAGTGGAAAATTTCTTACTATGAATGTGTTAATAATCTAATTTATTGATGATTCATTCATGAATATAAATGTATTCTCTAAGGTGTATAGTAGACATCACAAAGATCGTGAATAAAAGTAATGCAGAATTCAAATAAATACATAACATTATGATGAAAAGAATAAAGATTTTTTTCTAAAAAGAAAAATGGGAGCTGATTCAAACAACAACTTTAGAATTTGCAACAGTCAGTAGAAAAAAAAAAGAAAACCGATAATCATAAAAAAAGAATAAATAAAAAGTGTGAAAATGGAAAGAAACATCCATTAAACCATTGAATACAATCACATTGAAACTTATTTAATTCTATTCGCTTTTGAGTAAGTAAACAGCAATATGGGGAGAAAATTCCAAATTATAAAAAAACACAACAACACATAAGAAGGAAATGTTTTTGTAAACCTTTCTATCCATCAATAAGTTATAATTGTATACTTGAAATTATGATTAAATAATGTAATTTGTCAGTTAATAGTGATAATGTATTCACTTAAGTTTCTCTCATTTTCTTTTTTTTTGGTTACTGAATATAAACGACAGTATTCAATAGATTCATGAGTTAATCAACTTAGAATAATGTGAAAATAAAGAGTAAATTCTTAAGAGTATTACATCAATGAAATACAGTAGATGTAGTTTCGTATAGAAGTGATTAGGCGAATCTGCGTGTCTAGGGAATCGATGAGTCATTATTCGTTAGAAAATATAGTCGATTGAGTCCCATATTTGACTGAATTATATATATATATATATATATATGTTATAAACAACGTTGTTATTGTTAATGATGTGAAGAGAAATGCTGAATCATCGAATAAATTTAAGTGGAATCTGATTCTCATTTAGATTTTGTTTTCCCCTTGCTCAGTTCATTCATTTTTCTGTAGAAAACGGATATTTATATTATTTTTTTCTGTTTTTTCTTCTCAGCATCAGCTTAAATCTCCTCTAATTAATTTTTGTAGACAAAAATATAAAAAACATTTTTTTTTGTTTTTTGGAGGGATTCATTTTTTCAAAGTCATTCATAATTATTTTATAAGTTTTAGCCAACAATTAATGAAATGAGATTTTGTTTTTACCAAAAATCTCATTTCGTTAATTGTTGTTGTTGTTTTTTTTGTTTAAAAGAAATCCCTTTTATCAACTTTAAATGATCTTATCATATGATCTGATAGACGCCATAATAATTAAATATGACACTTCATACACAACAATAATGTTTTAGATTCATATTGGTTAGTTACTTATTCCTAAGTTGTTAGTAGGAAAATATACAATTGAAAAGTTATTGTTTAACTAATCTAAAATTAAGTTCAAAAGGTGTAAACGATAATCAAGTTGAATAAATCCTATTTCGATTGACAGTTTTTCTCGAGAAGGTTTTATCATATTTTATTTATATATATATCGTTATGAATAGTAAATAGGTTACTTTTGGAATGTTACGACTCTATTAAACTACTAATTTTATATCTTTAGTAACCTGAAAATGATTTATGGTAAATAAATGACACTACTATCTATAATCTGGTGTATGCTACTTATTCTGACAGATATTAGTAGTATGTAGCACCATTCGTAATTGAAATGTTTGGCAGCAGAATTTAATAATACATATAAGTAGTGAAACTATGGAAATAAATTAACATTCGTTTACTTTTATTTACAAATAAATAAAGTTTGATTGTGACGTAATAAACTTTAATTATTCCGTTTTTATATATAAAATTTAATAATAGGATGGTGGAAAAGATTTGTAGCTCAGATGGATGATTTTGATCGAGTTTTGTTCTCTGAGCTGGATGGTTTGGTCGTGAAGTTTCTATTGTTCTTCTGAACGACGTTATCTGCACAAATTTCAGATAGAAGTCAGACTTCTAATAGTTATATATGAGTTTACAACATTGACCGTTATGTCAATAACAAATAATCCTATTATTTTTTCCCCAGATGTATATCACTATGATACTGAAATAATCAGTAATTAATAATTTATACAAAATTGACATATTTTAAAATAACTTCACGTAAAGAAATTTTACATTGAAACCTCTCACGTCTACTGTATTATAAAATAGATAATCAAACTTACATTGACAGAATAAATAAGCCAATACTGAGTTTAAACTTTTTTTGATTTCACAAAAATAATTTAAAGGAAATTTGAAGGAATGATGTGTAAATACCATTATTGTAAAAATAGAAAAATGATAAGTTAATCTAATAGTATCAGAATGAAACAATGATGTCCAATTTATTGATATCCACATTATCAACATCATAAGCCATCATACTTTAGAAGGGTTTCTCGTAGACATCATAGCAATTTTAATGGTTTAGATCATGAGTCAATTGAAGCTTAACCACCATGTAAAATCTGAAAGAACTATAATATCCACAAAAACCCCTTTCGTGTCAATCAACATATGTTCACTAGTGACTGGCTTCAAGAGGTATTTCATGAAGTTCTAGTGAGAAACAGTGAACAGTGGAGTTTAACTGGTCTGTTGTGAAATAGTAACTCACTGAAGACAGTAGTGGATGTATCCCTCAATTTTGTGGATTAGTTGAAATTAGACATTGAGACTGTTGGACGCTGGTCGGCTCAGTGATCTGTAGGTTAAGCGTTCGCGCGCGAGACATAATTCCTGTGAATGCGCAGTGCTGAGAAGTTCCACAATAGGACGGAACGGACGTCCATCGCTTCCATGTTTTCCATGATGGTCTAACTTCAATCGACCCATGATTTCAACTATTAAAATATAGTTTTGTTTTATCACAATGAGTAGAAAAGTTATATTTTTGTCGTTTCGTATTATTTACGTATTATTTAGTATGAAAACTTTAAACAGTAATTTATCTTACCACTTCATATTATTTTAACCAAACATCTTGATTGACAAATATCGTATTCGAGGAAAATTAATCTCAATCCCAAATGATTACTTAATATCTGTTCGAATAATTGAAGTACTGTATATAATTAGATATACACTACTATAAATTACGGGTTTATAAACATTTAACGTTGTATCTGATCGTAAACCATGTATTATAAATAGATCGACAGTAATTTGTTTATTTACACATTATAGTGATAATTATTTACTTATATTCTGTAGGCTATTTTCATAATAGTCATTTACAGAATGTTTCGTTGTATATTACGTAATATACCGTCAGCAATTGGTCTATTATTGTATCATTTTTACAGATCATAGAAACGAACAAAATTATTATAGATGAATAAACAATTATATAAATTAAGATGAAAATTAATGGAAACTTTTCCATAGTATCACATCATGTTTCTTTCTTTCTGTTTTTTTTTCTAAATAATTCAATAGCGTTTGTTTGTTTGTGTTACAAACACAGAAAAAGAATGACAAAAAGACTAAAAAAAATTTCATAAATATTTATGTTGTTCAAAATAGAATGTATAAAGTATACACATGAACAAATTTGTATCCTTTCAGTTCATTTGCACGTAATTCAAATAACTAGAAGGATAGAAGGAAAAAACGCCTTGAGGAGAAATTGACATAAAAAATAAATAAATAAGAAGCGGATAAACTGTATAAGGGAGAGATACGGATAGAGAAAGAGTCACTTATGATGAAAATGGGAATATTTATTAGAAGATATATAGTGTAAGAGAATTTCTTCTATAATTTTACATTTTTTTATTTGTCTTTAGTTATTTACGTTCAAGCATCCAGTTTGTAAAAAGGTAAACAAAAACCATATTTAATTTATTATCTGCATTTTACCGTTGACATTATTTATTTGGCTGTTACATTTTCCTAATATTTACAACAAAGTTTTGACGGATCTTTTGAATTGATCCATTTTTATGTTTTAGATTGGATTGGTTGAGGTTAGACATTAACACCATTGGATGCCGGCTCAGTGATCCAGTAGGTTAGGCGTTTGCGTGCGAGATTGAAAGCCCTGGGTTCAAATCCCGCGAGCGGGATCGTAGATGCACATTGCTGAAGAGTCCCAAAATAGGACAGAACGGCTGTCCAGTGCTTTCAGGTTTTCAATGGTGGTCTAACATCAATCGGTTCATCATCTCAATAAAAAAATATTATTTTAGAATTGAAGAGAACAAATAAATACCCTATCTTTTATTATTAGGTACAGTCATATTATCATATTGATCAGTGAGTTTTTGAGTTACACAATATCGATTTATAGAATAATAATTTGTCAATTATATAACTCACCAAGCATTATTTCTTTATTACAATCATATCTAGCTATACCAAATGCAGGTTGTCCGCCAGGATCACAACGATCTACAGTGAATTCCCAATAATGTACACCTCTTGATAAACCAGTTGAACCAAGAATTACTCTATCTTCAGATAATTGACTAGTAACAGTTCTATTTCCATTTGTAAGTAAAATTTCTGGTACAGAAGTATGAATATCCAAATGAAACCAAGTAACTAATATAACAAGAAGTAAATATAAAACAAATGAGTTAATTTTTAGAAAACTAAATAAAATTATATCTTTTTAAAAGTTAGATATAAAACTGATTTATGTGAACGTTAAACTAATTTTAAATGGATCCGAAATCAAAACTTCGGTAGAGAAATAGCAATTAAGTATTTCGGTAAAATAAAGTTTTGTGAATTATACACAATTACGGTCTAGAGTTTCCTATGAAAATTTGATGCAAACCAATATTACACCATTCAGTCTTCTGTATTGATGGGATCTCATCAAATAAAATGCAACATAACCGTTAGTTTATGTAAATTAACATCATAATGTATTATACTTGATTTCAAATGGTAGACTTGTCATGCTGTTGAATGATAACTAGAATATAACCTATTTAAATGGTTATCTACCAACTGTCTCCATATATCTGCCATTAAAATAATCATTTCGGAAGTTCCTTTGAGCTTTTTATCCATACTTACCAAACTCGCTGGAGACCACATAAAATAGATGTCCCAAAAATGTTCTCGTTAAGGTTGAATTATATATATAAACTTGAAACTATAAAACAAATAAAATGTGGAAATCACAAACAGCCATCAGTTTTTGAAACCGCTAACAAACCACCTTTTTTCTCTCTTAATTTGTTTGATCTGGATGGAATTTTTATCAAGATTTTTACGGGATGGGGTTGCCGACCTGATGCCCAGCCTTCTTCGTTTACCCAGGCTTGAGACTGATAGTATTTCTAGTAGAGCTATAGGCAGAGTTCATTTAGATTTATTCAAACTACATCATTTGTCGTTAAAGACAAATATTTAATAATAATAACAATGATAACTTCATAAACAAAAACCCACATTCTTAAGTATTCTTCCTATTTTGTTAAGTATCTAGTTTTCTTAAAAAGGGACGAAATATATAAATTAATGATGCCGTTATGTATAAAAACAGCAAGTAATTTTATAAAATTGGAAACTAAAAGATTTACATGACATTTTATTATACTGATTCAGCATTGTTTATCGTCTTTCTTTCTTTTTTTGGCATATGTTTTTATAGAGCTTTCTAGAAAATGTCAAGAACCGGGTTTCATGTTCTTTTTGTTTTTACTTATTCTCATGGTATTTATATTGTCAAATTATACTCGATTTTTATTATGAATTCCTATAAAAACTAACCCATTTCTGTTGTGATTTTATTCTAATGAATAAACAAGTTGGTATATTTTGATAAAATAACTCGGCCACTGTTAAAAATCTAAGAGAACTGTAAAGTTGTTTTAGTCTAATAGGAAACTTTTCAGCGACTAAGGGATTGGATGTTTACGTGAGAGACCAAATAATCTGAATTCAACTCTATGTGATAAGATTGCAAACACATACTGAATACGAAACCTATACTAGGACGAAATAATTTTCCAATGCTTCCTGGCTTTTAATTATGATCTATTTAAGATCAGTTCATGTCTTTAAAACTATAAACAATAGAATTAGTCTTATATGAAAAAATAATAAAAAGTCATAAAACACTAAATCTAAATGAATAAAGCGCTTGTTAATGGTAGATTTATATTTCCTACAAGGTAGATAAATTAACATAAACAATATGATTATCATAAAATAGGATATTTATGTTGTGATCATCACAATTTATGATATTGAATGTGAATTATTTTTATTTTATTTTAGAAAAAGGAATCTATTCTATCTTATTCAGTGCACTTTTTTATTGATACCAATATAGTTAGTAAAATTGGAGTTATAGGTATCCATTCAAATTTTAGTTGATTTTCATAGATTATCAATAAAATCATAAACTTCATTTTCTATTCTGATGTTTTATTATGATGATAATGATGGCAGAGGAATTTATTTACGTTAACCTAGTACTTACGTATATATTCATATTATATGAATAAATTATATCTCCTAGTTATAATTATTTTCATTAAGAAAGAGTTAAGCTTTTATCAAATTCCTTCGTACAGTTTTGCTATTTACTGAGATGAACTTAACAAACGGCAGATCCCTTAGTTCAATGGCGAAGTATTCAAAATGATTGAGTAAAATTTAGATATCAACTAGACAATTTGTTTATTTTGATTGGCGTTCTTTTTGGCAAAGTCGGTTTCCAAGGGATGGAGTTGATGACCTCATGTCCAACTCTCCTCCTTTACCCAGGCTTGGGACCGGCAGTAGCTATAGAAAATCTACAGGCCGCGCTTGCCTCGTGGTGCCGTTTGATGTGTCACGAGTCAAGCGCTTACTTGGAATCCTGAAGGGAAACGGAAAAGAGGGAGATCAAAGAACACACTGCTTTGGGAATCGGAAAGACATGAAAAAAATTAATAGCTACTGGAAACAACTGGAAAGGACTACCCAGGACAGAGTTAGGTAGAGAATCCTGATGAGAGACCTATGTTCCTCCATGAGGAGTAACAGGTGTAAGTAAGTAGTCAGTTTGTTATTTTTGCTTAAACCATAATAATCCCACTTATGGGGTCTATCTGATAATGAAACAATATGTTTTACACTGATAATTTTATGAATGCAAACTATCAGCGTAAATCATTGAACCTAAATTTCATACTAATTGTGAAGAATTAACAAGGGATATCTGTAATTTTGGGGGAATTCAAATCCATATCAGATGATAATACCACACTCAAAGATGTTATTGTTGGGCTAGTAGACTAATGACTGAACTCTTATGATATTCAATCGGTAACTGAATCGGTAGAATTTGATAAAAACTAAAAACTAAGCAAGCGGGTTACATTAAGTTACGAAACGTCGGAAATACAACTTTTCTACTCATTTAGGTATAACAAAAAATATATCAGTTACTAAATCTCTACCCAAAGCTCGATTTATTTAAAGCTAACAAGTTCAATCTTGGCAGTGATACCTCTAAGCAACATCTTTTTGAATCAGTGATCAATAAGTGTGTTTACTAATAATCTCAATTTCGTTTACCGGACTTTTATTCTTTGTGTTAATGATTGGGTGACATACTTTTGGCGCAAACGATTATTTATGAATGAATGTAAGTAAATGCATGATTTGCCGTGTGGCTGAAAAATTCCATTCCCATGTGAAATAATTCATAATCGCTAAGTTGAAATCTATAATCGCTGAAAGCCTTCTAATTTACATTCGTGACAAAATTTAAATTCAACTTGTCCACATTTTCCAGAATTTTTCACTTTAGTGAATGATGATTTATAAATAAGTACATTACGACGAAGTCCTATATTAGATTATTTCTTTGTACATATTATTTCTAAAACTATTGTGGTGTATGCTACTTATATCAACATGCGTAGTATATAACACTAGTCAGGAGTAGAATGCCTGGCAACAGAAGGTTGAGAAGATCGAGATGGAAAGAACGGGAACAGAAAGCAATTGGTATGGAAATGCGGGAACAATGAAGTCTGAATGAAGTATAGTTTTTCTATTTTATCAAGTAACTCTGTAATTTTGTGCTAAATATAATCGGTTATCTTCACTGTGTTCTTCACTACACTGATTAAGTACGATGAAATAAATAATGTTCGCTGATTATTGTAAGGGATGCAATTCAATAGTATTCAATGAGCTTTTAAAAATACATACTTCTATAAATTGGTAGGTTGTTTTATAACAAGTTGAGGATGGGAATTCGGGTTACCGAAATGATTTATTAGCTATATTGTTTGTTCTAACTAACTACAATGCATATTTCTATATAAAACTCATTCGCGGATATATAGAAGTGGATGCCGGTGAGACAATAAGACGTACGGATAGAGATTTAATTGACACCAAGAGCAGGTCAAAATCTATGTCCAAATACAATATATTTTACCGATTAAATCTAGAATTTAATTCACCGGAGTATAGGTCATCTCTTCTTAATTAATGAAACATAATATAAATTCATTTCAATGAGATGATAAGATATGAAGTGTCATGTCCAATAAAGACTAGTTACTAAGTCACATATTTGATCGATTTACAAATATTTATTGGTTATTCCAAATGTATAGATTGACATAATTAGCTAATAGTGTTTTAGCATCTACTTTTGTTAAAAGTAAAATAATATTATTTAGATATTTTGAAATATAAAGTTCCAAAGAAAGCAAGTTACATTATAAATTATTAACATGGGCAACAACATTCCATAAATAATTATCATTTTAAATATTATAGAACATATTAATCTTATCATTGAAGAAATGACATTTTAACAAATATATTAAACTATGGAAAGTTGCTTTTTTCAAACGATTGTCATTTGGAAAACTTTAAAAGTGAAGAAAAACTTTTTGTAGCCTTATGTCTGACTCCAGTTTGGTTGTCTCTGATTGCTTTCGAGGTATACATGTAGAAATTTATATCCTAGTTATCGTTATATGTAATTATCGACTTAATCTGCGTTAGTGAGTGACGGAACTAAAATAAGTCAAATATGAGAAAGGATTTGGAATACTTTTATTTTTTACAATAATTGATCCAGGCAAATGATCAAAAGAATGAAGTGAAACAAAATGATGCACGGTGTAGAAGGTGTATGAGCCAACTCCATTTAACCAAGTGTTAATCGATATTATAGCCAGATAAAAATAGGTTACAGACATGTGATGAATAGGATAAGAAGTGTACACACATATGCTCATATAAAAACAGTCAACATTAATAAGTGAATAATTAACAAGATCAAAATGTGACTCAAGAAAAATGAATAAATTGGGCTGTCCAGAAGGTAGAATTAATTATATGGGCTTAATCTAGTAACCGACATTACAAACTGAAGAACTGAACTCTAGTTTGAGATTTTTTATCATTTACTACTTATCATCCTGTAGAATATTGATCTGAAAATTTTTAGATCTGATTATATGCTTATTAAAGCTTATATCATTAAATCAAATGAAATAAGTAAAGTTAATCTTTCGTGATATATCGAGACTGTCATTCAATATCATTGATAATAACTTAATTGTGTTATA